TTTATGGACTTTATTTCTCTTTATGTTGTAACATGTATCAGGACTTTATTTCTCTTTATTATTTCTCAATGGAGTAATATTCCATTGTATGCATACATCACATTTTGTTTATTCATTCATCTGCTGATGGACACTTGGATTGTTTCTACCTTTTGGCTCGTGTGAATAATGCTGCTATGAAAGAATATGTACCCTAGATTGATGAATACTCTATAATGTAAAAAGAAAGAAAATTTTGAACCCTAACTTTTTGGGAGTTTTATTTGGAAAGGAATTTGGCATCTGAGGTGAAGATTATTCCATTTCAATTTGAAGAATTGTAATAGATCTTCTGGATTTGAAGAACATATTGTGATGTCACAGCTTACTCAACAGTGAATATTCAAGTTGAAAGAGGAAAAGAGCCATCCTTTGGGCCAAGTGTGGTGGGAGGTGACACCAGGAAGGGTTGGGCAAGTTCCAGGAACAAAAAGAGCTGTGGTTGGGAAGAACAAGATGTGCAGGTGAAGAAAATGGGCTGTTTCTGGGTTGACTGTCTTCAGAAGGGTCTCTGGAAGTCAGGGACAAGGCCCAGGGCCTTCCTTTGAGTGTTCCTCTTGGAGTTTGGGAGAGTAAGGAGAGCTTCTTGTCTCTTCTTTCCTTAGGGACCCGCACAATGGAAACAACCTGCAAATCCAACTCAGGACTCAGTATTTGGCCTAGGCACCCATGAGACCCTGTCACTGGGAACCCTGGTTTTCTAGCACTGCTGTAACAAAAAAAGAAAATAGCCCAGAGTGGATGGCTTTCAAGAACAGGGATTCATCGCTTCACAGTTCTGGAAGCTAGAAGTCCACACCAAGGTCTTGACCATGTTGATTCCTTCTGTGGACCTCTCTCCTAATTTCTGGTAAGTGCTAGCAATCCTTGGCATTCTTTTATTGCTTATAGATACATCCCTCACATGGTCTCTGTCTAACCCATGTGTTCTGGTTCCCTAGTGCCTCTCTGACAAGAATACACCACAAATGGGGTGGTCCTAGCAAACAGGAGTTTATTCTCTTACAGTTCAGGAGGCTAAAAGTCCAAGTTCAAAGTGCCAGGCTCTAGGGTCTGGGTGAAAGCCCCTCAGCCTTGGGCTTCAGCTCTGCCTCCAGCTCCCGGCCCACTGCAGCTAGAGGAGTTTCTTCACTCAGACAGCTGCTGGCTGCTGAGGCTGCCAAGCCCAAGGTTGACAAGTAAAAAAGGCACAGTCCTGATGTTACCAAAACACACAGCAGGCCATTAACTCAAGTCCATTGTAAGTCCCAAGGTCGGCAGAGCATGGCAGGCTGCTGAACAATGACGCAGCTACAAGCAGGATCTAAGCATGCCATATGCTAGCAACCATTCCCCAAGGCTTCTGCTTATATACAGGAAGCAGACCACATCCCAAAGGCAGCTAGCTACTCAGCTTCTCACAGTAGATTCCACCATGGAGTTGATTACCAGTCTCATCATGGGGAATACTACTACATCCAGCTGCCCAGCCACTCAACCAAGCCCAGCCAATGTGACACACAGAGTGAACCACCACACTGTGTGTGTATGTCTCTGTGTCTATTCAGCTCTTTTTATAAGATACCAATCAGAAGTGACTAGGTTTAGTACCCACTCATTAACAAAGGAAAAGAAAACCCCTATTTCCAAACAGGTATAGGGATTAGGGTTTTCACATTTCTTCCATAGTTCAATTCATAACAAACACTAAGGATGGAAACAAAGGCATTGTGTTAGACTGACTGTAGGAGAAATTTAAGGATGAAGAACCTCCTCGGAAATCACACCATCCAGGCTCCCCTTACTTCCACCTGGCACCATGCTGCCTGGGTCATTTCTTTATGGGCAGAATGCACTTTGGCTACTATAGGCCAGAAAAGAAGCTGTGGCCTAGGCCATAGCCACACTTTCTTGTCAAGATGGCATAGAGTTCAGGGACTTAGCACTTGTCTGGTGCCATCTAAGGCTCCATGGTCTTGGAAATTTACTGGCCTGGGAGGCAGGAAATCTTGGTTTTAATCCTGGCTCTGCCATGGTCTTGCTGTATATGACTTTGGGCATATCCTTTACCCTCTCTGGGCCTCAATCTTTCCAACTGTTAAGTGGGGATGCTGAGCCCTGCCTACCCCAGAGGATCATGAATGTGAACATGTCTCATGGATTCTTATAAGCCTCTATGCCTGAGTGAGGAGGTATTGCTATTAGTCTATCAGGGGAGGGATGACCAGAAGGACTGGGGACACGTGTCCAGTAGAGCCCTACCAGGGTGGCCATGGAGCAGCTAGGGTCTGAACCCCAGAACACATTGTCCTAAGCCCCAGCCTCTGGGCAGTGGCAAGACTGGGTTCTAGGTGGGCCCTTTTCAGGATTTGAAGTAAAGTCCGTGGAGCTGTGAGGATTAAATGAGAATCTTAGTCTGGGTTCTCTAGAGGAGCAAAACCAGTGAGACGTATATATAAAATATATAAGTAGAGAGATATTTAATTCAAGGAAATGACTCATACAGTTGTAGAGGCTGACAAGTTCCAAATCCATGGGTCAGGCATCAGGCTGGAGGCTTCTCTTGACTCCCATGGTTGCAGGGGCTGATGAACTCAGATTTTGCAGGTCAGATGGCAGGCTGCTGTCTCACAGCCCTGTGGGAGGTGACCAGCCCCCAAATCTGCAAGTCATACAGCAGACTAGTGGCTCACATCCCAAGAACTGGAAGTCAGATGATCCAGGATCCAGAACAAGAGTGAACCTTGCTGAAATAGCCATTTATGTACTAGAAGCGGGCCACACCCTCAAGGAAACTCCTGTTTCAATTAATTGGCTGCTCAGATCAGATCTTATCACGGAGGTGATTACATCATATCAGGTCTCATTTCATGGAGGTGCTTATGTTATGTTAGATCTCATCATGCAGGTGGATTACATTATATCAGATTTCATCATGGAGAACTTATATTACATTATGGAAGAGCAATCAATCCGATGTCTGCCAAATTGCTCAGAATCATAGCCTAGCCACGTTGACACATAACATTAACCATCACAATGAGATTTATCAAGCACTAAGTGGGAGCTCTGGTAGCATAGTGGCTAAAGCACTTGACTGCTAACCAGAAGGCTGGCAGTTCAAACCCACCAGCCACTCCTCGGAAAGAGGGTTGGGCAATCCTATTTCTGTAGTGATACTGCCTCGGAAACCCAAGGAGGGGTCGCTATGAGTCGGGGCCGACTCGATGGCACATAACAACAACAACAACAAGAGCAGTGCCTAGAACACAGTAAATACTTTCTAAGTGTTTGCTATTTTTGTTAAGGAACTAAAGTAGGACCAGAAAGTACATTTGAATATATTACAGCATATTCCACTGTATGGATGGACCATCATTTAACCAATTCCCAACTATTGGACATTTCAAACCAAGCCAAACCCACTGACATCGAGTCGATTCCGACTCACAGCGACCCCCTTTGGGTTTCTGAGGTGGTAAGTCTTTATGGAAGTACATTACCCAGTCTTCCCTCCATTGGACATTTAAGTTGCTTCTAATTTTTAAGTATAAATAATCTTGCAGTGAACATCTTTGATTTAGAATTTATAAATACATCCATGATTGTTTCTTAAGGTTAGAATACTGGAAATAGAATTGCTGAATCAAAGCCCTGCACATTTTTTAGTCTTTTCCTATTGTAAGTGTCTATTTGTATTCCCACCAGCAGTTGCTTGAGAATTACAGCTTAGAAGAGAAAGAATTTGTTTAGGGAGATGGAGGAGACGGTTTGTATTACCTAGGATTAGATTTCACTGTAACAGAAAATCCTAAACAACAATGGTTTAAACAAGACAGAAGCATATTTTCTTCTCGTGTAATAGAAGTCCAAAGGCAGAGAGTCCAGGGTAAGTGGACTGCTTTACTCTGTATCTTCCTCAGTAACAGCTTCTACCTCATGGTCAATCATAGCTTCCCAAGTCCAGCCATCACATAAACCTTCAGTCAACAAGAAGAAGTAAAGGATATATAGCATTTCCACTTACATCCCATTTTTGGTGTTAGGTGCCATCGAGTTGTCTCTGACTCATAGTGACACTATGTACAGCAGAACAAAATACTGTCCAGTCTTATGCCAGCCTCACAATCCTTGCTATACCTGAGCTCACCATTGTAGCTGCTGTGTCAATCCATCTTGTAGAGGGCCTTCCCCTTTTTAGCTGACCCTCCACTTTACCAAGCATGATATCCTTCTCCAAGGAATGGTCCCTTCTTACAACACGACCATAGTAGATGAGGTGATGTCTGGCCATTCTCACTTCCCAGGAGCATTCTGGCTGCACTTCCTCCAGGACGGATTTGTTCGTTCTTTTAGCAGTATGACACTTTCAGCATTTTTCGCCAATACTACAACTGAAAAGTGTTGACTCTTCTTTGGTCTTCCTTATTCATTGTTCTACATCCCTTTGGCCAAAACTTTTTACATGGCTATACCTAACTGAAAAGGAGGCTGAGAAGCATAATCTTTATTCCAGGGGACCAGGGAGTATCCAGGAGTTCTACTACTAAGGAAGAAGGGGAGAACAGATTTGGGGGACTAATTGTCTGTCATGAGATTAGCTCAGACTGGGAGCAGCACAAATGGATCTAATGGAATGAGGATGAATAAAGCATCCCTAGGGGACCCTAAAGGGATGGATTAGACCATTCCAGAAAGTTAGAACACAGGCGTAGATGAGGAAGGGGTGTGTGAAAGAAGCAGCTTTATCCTGAAACCAATCCCTGAGCAGAGACATTGAGACTCCATAGAGAGGCCACTTATCTGAGATGTGGAGATTGGTTCTTGACTGCTCTCTTGGCTGCCCTCCAGGCTCACCTGTCCACCAGTTCACCTGAACCCCAGCTCACCTATCTCTCAGCTCACTTGCCTGCCCTGTCCTCGCCCAACTCACCTGCCTGCCTGTATTCTTGCCTACTCTGTCTCTACAGAGCCAACTCTTCATGGACCTCACTGATCTCCAGCTGGGCACAAGGAACCTGTGGAGCTGTCTTGTGGATTTTCTCAGCAAATATCCAGAATGGCTGAATGCCAAGGTGAAGTTCTTCCTCCCCAACATGGACTTGGGCTCCAGGACCGAGACCCCAGACCCTGCACAGGAGATCATCCTACAACTCAGCAGACTCCACGCCCAAAGTCTGGCCACCTGGCAGGCATTCATCCACTGTGTGTGCATGGAGCTGGACGTACCCCTGGAACTCGAGGTGCCACTGCTAAGCACCTGGGGTCGTGAAGACGGTAAGGGTGGACTTGAGAGGCACAAAGCAGCCATCCCAGCCCCCATGTCATGGGGAGCCAAGGGAGGCCCATGGAGGGTCAGGGACCCACTTGAATCACGCAGAGAGGACATGGCTGAGCCAGGAGCAGAGCTCTGTGCTTCCTGGCACTTCCCAGAGCAATTCCCTGGGGGAATGAGCTGGGGGCCTGGAAGACCCCTCCTTCTACCTTGCCCTGAGAGGTAGGATGCAAGGAGAGAAAGGGCCAAATGATTCCTTCCAGCCAGAAAATTCCAAACAGCCCATAATGCCCAAGGTGTTTCTTTTTGCAACATGACCAGAAGCAGTCACTGGGAGAGCCCTCTATCTCCACTGATGAGCAAGCAGGTTTAATGTCATTTAGTGCAATGGACATCTATTGGGTGCCTTCTGTTGGCATAACACTGTGGGGGCCACACAGGACATTGAAGGCACATGCATACACACATACATTTCTGCCCGCCCTGCCTTCAAGGCTCACCACCAGCTTTCTGCTCCACAGTGCTAACCTCATTTCTCCTGTGTTAGATACCCACCCAAGGAGCTCTGGTGGCACTGTGGTTAACACATTCAGCTGCTAACCAAAAGTCTGGCTGTTCAAACCCACCAGCTGCTCTGTGGGAGAAAGATGAGGCAGTCTGCAGCCTTGGAAACCCAATGGGGCAGTCCTACTTTGTTCTATAGGGCCACTATGGGTTTGGTTTGGTTTGGGATTGGATCCCCACACTGTGGCTTCAGAGTGGGCCCTGAAGTATCCCACTGTACCCCCATTACACAATGTGTTCTTCTTCTCTTTCAGGGTTCCCCAGCCAGCTTGGAACTGATACAGAAGGCTGCCCCAATTCTCGGCTCCACCCTGGTGAGACCTGGCTTGGAGAGAAGGAAGGGGAGGGAGGGGAGAACACTGCTGAGTCCCCACCTCAGATCTGGAAGGGGCTGGAGGTGGGCTGGGTCCAGTCATTTCCCATAAACCGTCCTCCTCGTCCCTGGCCTGCTCGCACATTCTCTACTCCCCTCATCACCACTACCACCCCTCCCTCCTCTGTGTCTTTCAAGGCTTTGGCCTGTCCTGATACCTGTTTCTAGGGATCAAAGCTTCCATCTCCTGAGAGTCTCTGAAGGTGCCAGTCCCCAGCCACCAGCAGAATCCCCTGTCTGGTTTCATTTGGGGAAGCCTATTCTCATTTCTCTGTCCCCAAGCCTAGGGGCCTCATGCTCCTAACCCCATAATCCAGTTCCTCTTAGGAAGCCCTGACCACCTACATGGACCCCTCAGCTAATACTGGCTTGCTCATTGTCTGATGGTGTGTGCCAGGGTCAGGGGTCTATGGTGACCACCTTGCTGGTTCCTGGACCACACTTATTTCTCAGACACAGTCTCTCTTTAGAATTGACTTTTTAATAGTAGCTGCACATGGCACTAACATCACCAGACTTCGGTAGATAACATCCACTCTGTAGTCCCAAATCAAGACTATTGTCTTGGCCCTGGTTCCTCTGGCCCTTATCACTGAGTTGTGACCAGGCCTGACAGATATTTGGCCACTGAGTCCTTCGTTATTTTCCATCTTGTTGAACTTTGCTATTAGTGCTGGGGCAAGTTGGTATCTCATTATTGTTTTGACTTGCATCTCCCTTGTTAAAATATTGAAATGATTTCTGACTAGGTCCAGCACCTTCTGAGACCTCCCTACAATCCAGCAGCAAAAATGTTAATATGTGGCAGGCAGGGGGCCTTGGGCTTGGCTCCTGGCTCTGTTCTGATCAGTCGCTGGTGCCTGGCTCCAGGAGTATCCCACTCTGCTTCTTAAAATTCTGCCGTCAGCCCTCTTTCCTTCCTGCCTGCCCTTCTTTCTTTCATCCTTCTTTTCTTGTTTTCCTTCTTTCCTTTCCCAACCTTGTCCAGAAAGACTTTCAAGTGACTCAAAAACCCACGCAAAAGACAGTAACTCAGGAAAATGTGAAAGGAAGTGAGGAACCCTGGGTGATGGGAAATAAGGCTGGGAACACACTGGTACTGGAGCGAAGGGGCAAGTCCCGCCAAGCCCTTCCAAAGCTTTTCTTTCACTGCTAACAGAGGACTCAGCAGAACCTGGTGCTTCCCTGGTGGAGAAAGCCATTCAGTGCTTTGGGTGTTTTGGAGGCTGCTGGCTGTCAGCCTGCTTCTTGACTCCTAGACTGGGAAATCCCCAGGTCCTGAACTCCCAGCCCTCCCACCAGACCTAGGACCTTCTCTTGTAAACAGAAGCTGGTGTCATGCAGCCTTAGCCTACCATCCAGTCCTGGAGTGTGGACCCATGTGCCAGCCTGGTGCCTGTTGGAGGATGGAGCTTCCTTGTTCCCTCGTCCCCAGCCCATAGACCTCACCCCTCTACCTCTTTCTTCTCTCTTTCCAGGTCTCAAGAGGCCTCATCAGAGCTGCGGGTCCTCACCCCACAGGAAGCAGTATAAGAAACAGCAGCTGGGTGGGTACCAGGTGGGGAGGGGCCCAGCGTATGGGTTTTGGATTGCCTTGGGGCCAGAACACAGATTCTGGGCTCTGTCCCCTGCTGACAAGCCTTGAAGGGCCCAGTGACCCTTGTCTTCTGAGCTTCCAGGAGAGAAGGATTGGATGGGCTGGGTGGGCTGAAGAGATGGCTGGGTCTGCCTGTCCCCCCACCCTATCAACCCCCAAGGGGACTTCTCCATAAATGGCTCAGCTGAAGGAGCTAGAAACACCCTAGCAAGAGACAGCTTCATTACCCAGGCTAGTCCAGGGACATCCCTATGTCATCAGGGTGGAGGGAGCCCCAGGATAGACATCAGGCCTGGGTCCTCATAGGCCAGGTTGGGGTGGGGCAGGGAATGATGAACATGCCTGGGAAAAGTCCCCAAGGTAGAGGGGCCCATGGAAGATGGGGTCCTGATGAGTGGGCATAGAGGAGACAGAACTTGTCTCATTCTCAGCCTGCTGTCACAGGTGATTGGAGAAGTCCCATCAGTGTCTCCCAGCAGTGGGCCAACCCCAATCCTTCCCCTGGGCCACCGACCAATTACCAGCAGTTCAAAGGTCATCACTTGGTCCTGCACACCTGGTCCAGCTCCCACAGACCTAGGTGGTCAGAGCCTGTGCCTACAGGCTGTTAGCTGTCTTGAATATCACCCCTGGGCATCTGGGAACTGCCATGTTAGGGAAAAGTTCAAGTTACTCAGATATCACCTTAAGAGGTTGCACCAGTAAGATCTTGCAAAGGAAGTGTCCCGAGTTCCTCCCCCGCCTCCTCAGCTTATTGGAAACTTTAAAACCCTTATATTGTTGCAGAATAAGTAGTGCTATGATTCACATTTCCCTATTCACACTTCCTGGTTCAAACGGCTGATAGAGCTGGTGGTTTCGATTGCCTGTTGGCTTTTTGTAGAACACACTCCCTCTGGCTGTGGTCTGGCATTCCCTGCCCCCCTGCCCCGCCATACACACAACTGGGGCTCCAGCAGCCTGAAAGTGTGCCAAAGGGTTGGGGGAGAGTCCTGCCCTCATGCTACTTCCCTTCCCCATGCAGAGTTGGCCAGGCAGTATCTGCAGCTCCTGAAGACCTCTACCCAGCAGCTCTACGGCAGCGGGCACTCTGGGCCAGGGCAGCCCCTCTCCCTTCACATTACCCCAATTCTGCAGAGGAGCCGGGTCACAACACCCTTAGACACTCAGGAAGAGGCTGTTATGGGGGACCTGAAGGCAGAAGACAGCATTCAGGACCTCTTCAACACCAAAGCGGAAAAGGGCCGGAGGGTCACAGTGGTCTTGGGGAAGGCAGGCATGGGTAAGACCACACTGGCCCACTGGCTCTGCCAGAAGTGGGCTGCTGGCCAGCTGGACCGCTTCCAGGCCGTGTTCCTCTTCGAATTCCGCCAGCTCAACCTGATTACAGGCCTCCTGACGTTACCTCAGCTCCTCTTTGATCTCTACCTGAGCCCCACGTCGGGAGCTGCCACTGTCTTCCAGTACCTGGAGGAGTATGCACATCATGTCCTGCTTATCTTTGATGGGCTGGATGAGGCTCTCTACCCCTGCTCCAGCAAGAAGACCAAAGGCCCTGATGCTCCAGGTCCCACCTTCTCCCTATTCTCTGGCCTCTGTGATGGGAGCCTCTTACCTGGCTGCTGGGTGTTGACCACATCACGTCCAGGCAAGCTGCCTGCGTGTCTGCCTGTGGAGGCGACCATGGTCCACATGTGGGGTTTTGACAGGCCACGAGTGGAGGAGTATGTAGGACGCTTCTTCAGGGACCAGCCTTTGCAGGCAATGGCTCTGGCAGAGGTGCGGGCAGACAGGAATCTCTGGAGCATGTGTACGGTGCCCGCCCTGTGCCGTGTGGCCTGCCTCTGCCTCCAACATCTGCTCCCTGGCACCTGCCCAGGCCAGGCTGCCACCCTCCTGCCCACCATCACCCAGCTCTATGTACAGATGGTGCTCACCCTCAGCCCCCACAGGTGCCCACCCACCATGGCCCTCCTGGACCTTGGTGACGTGGCCTTGAAGGGCCTGGAGGCTGGGAAGGTTGTCTTCTATGCAAGAGACATCCTTCCACCCGTCATGGCTTTTGGGGCTGCTCACAACTTGCTGACTTCCTTCTGTGTCCGCACAGATGCTGGGCGTCAGGAGACGGGCTATGCCTTCACCCACCTCAGCCTGCAGGAGTTCTTCGCTGCCCTGCAGCTAATGGCCAGCCCTAAGGTGGACAGAGACATGGTCTCCCGCTATGTCACCCTCCACTCCTATTGGGTGCTGCGGACCAACACTAGCCTAGGCCTCCTAGACCACCTGCCCACCTTCCTGGCAGGCCTGGCATCCTGTGCCTGCCGTCCCTTCCTCAGCCACCTGTCACAGCAGGATGAGGCATGGATAGATGCCAAACAGGCTGCTGTTGTGCAAACATTGAGGAAGTTGGCCACCCGCAGGTTCAGGGGACCAAAGGTTATGAAGCTGTGTCACTGTGTGAGTGAAACACAGGAGCCAGGGCTAGCCCGACTTGCTGCCCAAAGCCTCAACTACCCACTGACCTTCCACAATTTTCCGTTAACCTATGCCGACCTGGCTGCCCTCGCCAACATCTTGAGTTACAGGGATGCCCCTATCCAACTGGATTTTGAGGGCTGCCCTCTGGAGCCCCACTGCCCAGAGGCCCTGGTGGACTGTGGGCAGGTAGAGAATCTCAGGTGAGAGTCAGGGTGGGGGAAACTGGGCATCTGGGAAGGTGGAAGCCAACCTGTCTCCCTGCTAAGGGATACTGGGTAAGAATACTGAATATCAGAACAGAAGCCTTGAGATATGGGTGGGAAGCTCCATCCCTTAACTAGGACTTCCAGGGGCCAGATGGAGTCTCTTCCCTGCCCCTGGATTCTCATCCGGGTTGTGCTGTTAGAGGCTGTTTGATTTTGGGCAGGTCATTAACCTTTCTCAGCCTGAGTTTCTTCATCTCTGAAGTAAAGAGATGACTCAATCTAACTCATAGGGGTGTTGTGAGAAGGAGATGAGGTGATGACAAACACTTCTTAGCACAGCATCTGGCATGTAAACAACACATGTATTAGCTTGGACAAAGGCTAGGCTGCAGTAACAAAGAAACCCCAAAAATACAGTGCCTTGAAAATGCAGACGTTTATTTCTCTATGATGGAGGAGTCCAGAGGTAAGTGGTCTGGGTCAGTGGGATAGTTCAGCTCCATGAGGTCATGCAGGGACCAGGTCCTTTCAATTGTCATGCCAACATCTCTCTGGACATGCTCATCTGCACGGTTAGCACCAGGCCCTGGGTATATCTGTGCTCTGGCTTGGGAGGCGGAAACAGGGAACATGGAGGAGATACACCCAATGGGTTAAAGCTCAGATCTAGAAGTAGAACACATTATATCACTCACATTCCATTGGTGAGGATATAGTCACATGGCCACAGTGAACTGCAAAGGAGGCTGGGAAATGCCATCTTTGGCTGGGTAACCACATTCCCAGCTATAGTGCTGTTTCTATGAATGAAGTGCAAAATGGCTTTTGGTGGACAATTAGTAGTCTCTGCCATATATGTAAGGAGCTCTGGTGACACATAGGTCCCTAGATGACCCAAGGAGCTCAGGTGGCACAGTGTCTAAGGCATTTGCCTGCTAACCAGAAGGTTTGTGGTTCACATCCACCAGCTGCTATGCAGAAGGAAGATGAGTCACTCTATTTCCCTAAAGATTTACCACCTTGAAAACTCAATGGGGGTCACTAAGAGTCAGAATCAACTTGATGGCAGTGGGTTTGCTTTTTCTTTTTGAGATGGCACAAATGGTTTGGGCCTGACTACTAACCTAAATATTGACAGTGGGTCTAGCAATCTGTCTCTGTGAAGATGACAGCCAAGAGTTCCCTATGAAGTAGTTCTACTGTGTCACACATGGAGTCACCATGAGCCAAGGGCTGACTCAATGACAATGGGTTAGGTTTTTTGCTTTGGCCGTATGAGTATATTTGTTACTACAACAACTACTACAAAAACTTTAAGTTCCATCTGTCAGAGGAGGGAATGAATGACAATGTCAGAAGAGCCTCTTCTGTTCTGATATTCTAAGCCCTGCCCAAAACTCACCCTCTGCCACTTGCTTCTCCCTGTGGCAGCTTTAAGAGCAGGAAGTGTGGGGACGCATTTGCAGAAGCCCTCTCCAGGAGCTTGCCAACGATGAAGGGCTTGGAGAAGCTGGGGTGAGCCTGGGCTTGCAACCAAGGGGGTCTCAGCCAGGGAAGCCTGGCATTCTCCCTCCCCTCAGCCCTCCTCAGGGCATATTCTTGACCTAGTCCCGTCCCATCCCCATTCCTTCCCACCATCTTTGCTTACCTTGTAGGTTAACAGGAAGTAAGATAACTGCCAAAGGCATCAGCCATCTGGTGAAGGCTTTGTCCCTCTGTCCACAGCTGGAAGAGGTCAGGTGAGTGCTTGCTAGGGGTGTCCCTGCTCAGGCCCCAGATCCAGTCTTGGGTCTGGGCTGTGCCCTGCGTGTTCATCAGGGACTGACTAATAGGTTTTCAATGAGACCCAGAGAAGGGAAGTATCTACCCAAGAATTGAGAGGGGCCAAATCCAAACACAGGCCTCCCCAAAACCCTAGAGCAGTGCTTCTCTCATGTAATGTTTTGGGGGTGCATCTTGGAGGAGCATGGGTTTTGTTGCTTCTGCCATCCTTCAGTGACCCTGGGAGAAGGGATAGCAATATTGAGGGGAGTGTCAGACACTGTATGCATGAAACATGCTTCACACTCACACACATATGTGTACTCACTTGCACAGATATGCACACTCACCTACTCACTTAAGTGTATGCCCCACATACATGTACATGATAGGTGTGCACATGTCCAGCACACATATGCATGCATGTGTATAGTTCCGCATATATACTTAGATTCAGGTACACACTAAAACAAGTGTATATGCACAAATATATACCTGTCCTATATCTGGGAGTGAGTGGCCTGGGGAGGGGGAGGGCCAGAGACCCTTCTCAGCAGGTCACAGGCAAGGCCACTGCTAGAATATATGACATCATCATGGGACTTATCAAAGGTGCTCCTTCATCTGGGCAGATGCAACCTAGCACTAAGGTGCACCACTCATTGAGTGGAACATGAGCTGGACCACAGTCCCTTTTGTCCCCTTGTCTGGGTGCATTTGTGCAGTGATCACTCTGGTCAGGTCAAAGGTTAGGAAATACTAAACTTGTTGGAACTTAGTTTCCTGATTATCAAGAGTCACCTTAAACTTTTCTACTATTACTCAGCCATTGCTCTCAGTCTTCTACATAGCTGTCAGCTCATCTGCTCCTCCAGCCAGGGCCCAGTGAGGTCAGCAAGGCATGTGCTTGGCTCAGGGCCCTAGGTGAGTCAGAGCCAGAGCTGAGGCTGGAAGTCCAGCTTCCCAATCTGGACTCTGTCTGACCACTTGGAAGCCAAAAAGCATATCCCAGACATAAGTCCTGGGGTCAGGGTTCTGGATCATGAAGCTTTCACAGTTAGTCATCTGGACCCCTTGGGCCACCAGGCAGAAACTTAATAGGGATAGAACTGAGGTCACCAGAGGGCCTCTCCTCCTCACTATGCCTGCTGGATGTGAGGGAGCAGGTCACCAACCCTCTCCGGGCCCCTGTCTTGTGTTTGCTGCATGAGGCTGGTCATGCCTGTCACCTGCCACCTGGGGTTCCTAAGTGCCCTAGCCTCAGGGCTGAGAACTGAGCCTCAGTCCCTGTAGTTTGCAGAACAACCAGCTCAAGGACCTGGAGGTGCTGAACATCATGGAGGTGCTCCCCCACCTGCCAAGGCTCCGGAAGCTCGAGTAAGCAGCCTCTCCACTCTCCTCCAGGCTACTGCTGTGCCCTATTCCATTCAGCCCCTTCCCTTGCTGAGCAAGGAAGTTCTGGGCCCCACAGGGTGGGAGATTCACTCCTGATACCTTTGCCATAATCCTGCAGCTTGAGCCGCAACGACATCTCTGTGTCAACCTTACTCAGCTTGGCAGAGAAGGTAGTCATGTGTCCAACCATCAGAGTACTGCAGGCCAGGTGAGCAGACAGAATGGGATCCTGGCCTTCAGGGTTGTGATAAGAGGGGAAGGGGGGATGGAGGATGGGAGAGGAGAAGGTACCTCACCTGCAGGATTGACATGAGCATGCCCAACTCTGTTTTTCTCACAACTGTATCTCCAGGCTCAGGCATGGCACCTAGTGAATGTGAAAGGAGGATGGGAGAGGACGCCTGGCACCTAGTGAATCAATAGTGGGTGGATGGGTGGATCGATACTCATCTACAAGGCATAGACACAGCCAAAGAGCTAATGAGTCATGTGTTGCTCTCCATGGTGCTGAACAGTTTTTGCTTGTTTGGCGCATGGAGTAGATGGTTGTACCCCTTAATCCTAAAACACTAGTAATTCTAATAAAAATCTCAGTGTTCCTAGTTTTCTTATAAAACATATTGTTTTCTTATATTTTTAAAGCACTCTTATAGAATTCATCAAGCCATGACATAGTCATGATTTTACATGCCTGAGTGGGAGTACTTTTTCAGTTCTGTTGTTTCTCTGGATGTTTGAGGCAGGAGGGAGTGTGCTGGTGGGGGTGATATGCTGGTTCCCAGCCCAGGGGCTTCATAGCTTGGTGTCTCACCTGCAGGCAAGCAGAGCTTCTCTTCCTTTTCTCCCCGTCCACAGAGACAGCTGCAGAGCCACAAGGGTAAGGAGCCAGGGCTGGGGAGGGTTTGGGCCCATCATGAGATATGATATGAGCTCAAGCAGTTGGTGGAAGGGTGGTCCAGAGATCCAGGAGTAGAGCTACAATGTGGAGATTTCTTTCTATTTGCCCTAAGGAAAAAATTGCTCTTAGAGTTGGCAAAGGACTTAATATTTTTTTCTATTGGATTTGAAAAACAAGAGGGAGCATCACTAGAAGTCTCAGGATGAGCCAGATGCTTAGGGCATGAAGAGACTGCCACACTTGCATCGTTGGGTGGGGAAGACTCTCCCAGCTAAACAAAAAAGGGCAATTATGGTACCTTTACCTTACAGTCATTCTGAGAATTAAATGCATTAATGCATTCAGAGTGTTTAAAACTCTGCTGACATGCAATTAGTGTTTAACTGCTGGCTATTCCAACTGTCTAAGGAGCCTTAGGGAACTCTGGTGGCATAGTACCTAAGGCACTTGACTGCTAACCAAAAGGCTGGCAGTTCAAACCCACCAGCCACCCCTCGGAAGGAAGGTTGAGCAATCTACTTCTGTAGTGATACTGCCTCGCAAACCCAAGGAGGGGTCACTATGAGTCAAGTCCGACTCAACAGCAGTGTGTGTGTGTGTTACAGTGATCCCGGAGGACCACTGTCTCTTCCACTCTGTCTTAAGCTGCAATGCCTAGGACAGCAGCCACTACCCACAGGTAGCTATTTAAATTAGTTGAAATTTTCATTTCATCAATTGCATTAGCCACATTCCAAGTGCTTATTGGCCATAAATAGCTAGTGGATGGCAAAGATATAGAATATTTCCATCATTGTAGAAAGTTCTGCTGACAGGGAAAGTCTAGAAGTCTGTGAAACCCTAGCTCACAATGTTCTAGCTTCCCTGCAGCCCCCAGCCCTTCCTTGGGCTGGTGGGAGGAAGTCTGGAGGCACTATGATTTCCCTCAGCCTGGACCACAGAGGCTTCATGCTCCCTGCCTTCTGATTCACAGATGGCAGATCTACAAATGGAGACACCGTCACATCATAACAACAGCAATTTCTTTTTGCTAGGTTTCAAATTTGTGCCTGTGCTGGGCACATGACCATACATCGTCTCACCCAATCTTCACCCCCTGTATTTACTCATTAGATATTGTCATCTCCTTTTAGAAAAGAGGAAATGGAAGCTCAGAGGGGTGAGGTATCTTGTCCAAGCCACACAGCCATACATGGCAGAGCCAGAACTCAAGGTTCTGTTTGACCTTTGCTTCTGCTACTTTGCTGAATGACACCTTGAGCAGCTTTGAAGGACAGTAATTGCTGCTCATTCACTGTGGGCCTTGCTGTAGGTTTTTCAGCCCCTGGCAGCCAAGGGAAGAGGCTTGGACCATCAGAGCATGGACTTCTGGGTCCATGGTAGTATTTGATTTGTTCTTGTCAGGAATGCAGACCTACAGGGAAATGCCAACCGGAAGGAAGAGGCCCAGACCAGAAGCCTGACACTCAGGTATCTCAGTAGGATCCAAAGCCTTGGGGTGGGGGATGGATATGACATTGCATGTGTGTGTCTGTGTGTGTGTGTGTGTGTGTGTGTGTGATGTTCTTCCCAAGGAAGGGATAGCAGGCAGGGAGGATAAGGGGAAGGTAGACAAGGGGCAGAGCAAGGCCGTGAAAAACCTATCTTGGCTTGGATAAGGAGCATTCATCATACAACAGTAACAGTTGCCATCTATTGGGCCCTTGTTATATGCTGGGCACTGAGATAAATGTTCTACATCCATTGCCTCATTGTGCCCCTTTCGAAAGCCCTATGTAGTACACATTATTGTTCCCATTTGATGGAGGAGGAAAATGAGGCTCAGATAGGTTAAGTGCCTTGTCCAAGATAATCAGCTACTAAGAGGTGGAGCTAAGATTAGACCCTGGGTCTGTCAGCTCCGGATGCCCCATCTCTATGCCTGGCACTGGCACTCAGAGCTGGAGGGGCCATGGTGCAAATGTTTGCCCTGACCCCTCTGCCCCCTCCCACCTTCACCCAGGTTCCACCAGTGTCAACTCCAGGCCCATGACACCAAGGCCCTCATCGCCCTGCTGCGGGATAGCCCCCACCTGGAGGAAGTGGAGTGAGTATCCTGAGCAGCCCTGGGGCAGGAGACAGGAAGGTGGGGCAGAGTGAGCAGGGCTTTTATGAGTGGGAGAGGGGCATACTGCCTCAGTGAGAACAGGGGGGCAAATCAGATAACCATAGCAGCTCCACTCATGGAACGCTCGCCCTGGGCTGGCTGCTGGGTAGGGGCTTTTCCATGCATCATCTCATTCAATTCTCACAACCCTTAGACATAAATGCTGTTACTAGTCATGTTTTGTAGAGGAGGACGTTAAGCCCCGTAGAGGTTAGTTTGCTCAAGATCACACCACTAGGAAGAAACTAAGCCAGACAAGCCCAGGCAGTTTGATTCCTGACCTCATTCTCAGAACCACCACTGCCCCATCACTGAGATCTGCAAAGCAGAAACCCCCTAACCCCACCAGACCTGGGTCTGTTTTCTAGCCCCCAGCCTCCCACGGCTCCTTTGTCCTCTGCATTTTTCCCAGGGTTGAATGCGAGAACTTAATTTTGTGAGCTGGGGAAATTCCCATGATGCCTAGCTCCTGGGCAGAGCCTATGAGAGCAGGGCTGGGGCAAGTGGTGGAGGTCCTGTCATGCCCCTAGAAGCCAGTTCATTCCCAGGTCCACTTACCTCCTAAGTAGCTCTCCAAACTGTCCTCTTTTCTCCAGCCTCTTTTTATCCTTGTCCGAGCCCAAACCACCCTCATCTCTCACATGAATGACCTCATCGGTCTCCTTTCTGGTCTCTCTGTTTCTACTTTGGCCCTTCCCTTTAGCAGAGGAAAAACATCAGGGAGGCCTTCCCTGGCCCCCAGACAAGGTCAGATCCCCCTATAATGCATGATCACAGCCACTTATACTTTCCTTCATGCCATTTACCACATTATACAGGTTGCAACATAAAGGAAGGGTTGAGGGTGAGGCCTTGAAGTCAGGATGCCCAGGTTCAAATCCCAGGTCCAACTGCCTTCTCCACTCTATGCCCCTTATCAGTAAGATGAGCATAGTAATAGTGCCTATCCCATAGGGTTGCTGTGAGGATTGAAGTGCTGATAATTGTAGAAGCCCCTAGGACAATACCAGGCATGTAGTAAGCATCTCTCAGTGTTAGTTATTATAAGGTGAGTGCTGGGGGTCTATGGGGGCCCCACAGCACAGGACATCAGCCCCTCTGTCTCAGCCTTTCAGGGAACCAACTGGAAGATGAAGGCTGTCAACTGATCGCAGAGGCTGTACCCCAGCTGCACATCGCCAGGAAACTGGAGTAAGTCGCCCAGCCCACTGCTGGTAACAGGGAAGGCCTGAGAGAGCACTAGCCTGTCTCTGCCACCCCAGGCTTCCACACCACTGTCACCAGAAACAGTGTTGCCGCGTTACCGACAAATAGAAATCTTCCCAGAAATGGTGCCAGCCACCCCCATTCTCTCCTCCTGGCTCCAGAAACAGTGGCCATGCCTTTTCTTTGTCTTGGGCAAGAGCCACTGCCTTAGTTCCAGTTATAAAACCCCTGCGCATGGAGATCAGTCACTATTGTTCATTGGACCAGTGGCTTGTGTTCCTGTTAGTTCATCCTTGCAACAGCCCTGGAATGGGGTGTGGTGTTGTGCTGGGACAATGTTGGGATACTGGGGTAGATGGGTGCTTGAGTGTTGGGTTAGGATGTTGGGGTGGTAAAAGGTGTGTTAGATAGGGGATTTAGTGTTGGGGTAAAGGGTGGGTTGTTGGGTGGTGAGATGAAAAGGAGGGGTATTATGCTACTGGGTGTGCTGGGGTGCTGAGTAGGGTGGGGGTAGTGTTTAGGTGGGGTATGTTGGGGTCTTAAAAGCAGGTTGGTGGTAACAATTGTTGTAATCTGTTACCATAGTGATTGCTTCAATTGTAGGATTTCCTTAGCTGATATACCACCACTGTTGGATAATGTTAGTACAACCTCCTAATGGTACTAATGCCTTTCTGAGATCTCTACTCTGCCTCCTCAATTAATTTGAATATTTTGTACCAATACCATGTTGCCTTAGTTATTGGAGTTTAAAATTATATAGTTTGAATATTCCAAGTTTGTTCTTCTTTTGCCATATTGTTTTGGATGTTGTAGTTGTGTTGATTGATTTCCAAATACACGTTAGAATCAGATTATGAATTCCTACCGTCTTGAATGGTATTGGAGCTCTGGTGGCGTAGTGCCTAAGGCATTTGATTGCTAACCAGAAGGCTGGCAGTTCAAACCCCCCAGCCACTCCTCAGAAGGAAGGTTGGGCAATCTACTTCCGTAGTAATACTGCCTTGGAAACCCAA